CATATTTTCAGTACGTTCGGCCTTTTCGGCTTGTAATCATAATATTGAAGAAAACAGTCATTTAATCCACCCCGTTGATTTAGTGAGTTCATTTGCCTTCTACCCATTCGAAACCCCCAGGTTACGTGTTGGACCTGCGGGTTGAGGGGAATAAACCTCAACAATATATAAGAAAACAAATAGCTCCTCCAATTACCATTTTTCCCCTACATAAACATACATGTCACTCTCGATCCTAATTTATCTCCTTTGCTATTTTAATGCCACATGGCTTCCTCATAGTGAAGTAAAGTTTTTTTTTATGCCTTAAAAAACATGGCATATATCAAGTGAGTATTAATTAATGGGACCCATCACATATAAAAATACTATTTTCTTTAAATTGTTTTATCTTTTTCATTTTTTCTCTAATTTTCATTAAAAAATTATCAAAATTCATCATTTTTTATGATCTTTCATATGACATCAATATTGCTTATATAAAAGTTAGAAAAAAAATTCTGAATATTTCATAAATGATCTTCCTATTTTCAAACCTTGAAATATATTATTCTGTATTAAATAAATATATAATTCCTAATGCGGAGTATATGAGTAAAACAATTCCTAATGGCGGTTTGCTCCATCCGCTGAAATCCAAACAAGCTTAATAGCAGATTCCGTTAGCTTTTATAAGTAACCGCTTTCATTAGCGTTTGAAATAAAATGTTAGTAACTTAACTGTTTGCAATTAAATGTTAAGACATAAAATTATCATTAAAGATATGAATTTAAAAGTATATATATTAATCTTCACTTATTTTTTTTAATAAGTCTTTGAAAAGGTTTTAAAAATTATATTTACATTTATTTTAAATAACCATGGAGTAATTTTATTAAACAAAACTAATAAATAGTCATATGAAGTTGAGTTATGGAGTAGATTTTAAATGGAGTAGACTTTTAAAAAAACTAATAAATAGTCATATTTAAAATATTATTACTAGAAATATATGAATTTATATGTGCTCGCATTAAAAAAAAGAATTAGAATGTTAAAAAGAAAATTCTAGAATGTAACTGACGATTGTTGCTATGTGTTTTTTAAGTTCTGTGAATTGATTTCATTTATTTAAAAAAAGGCATGTAGCCATGTGGCAGAAATAGAGAAAGAAGTGAGATTTTTAGGAAGATAACACGTGGATGATGAAATGAATTCACAACTAAAAAACGCAGAGCAATAACGGTCAGTTCTAGAGTTTCTTTTTAACAATTCTAACATACCTAATCAATCATACGGCCAATTCACAACTTTTTCTTAATCAATCATACTCCATATATTGTGACTCTACGACCCTGCAATTCTGTTTCTAAGTCTAAAATTCAGTCACCACAATTTAATTGTTTGATCTTCAAGGTTTTTTTATTACTCATTATTACTCAAATACAAATTTACAATCATTTGCCAAAACAAAATTCAAAACAACTTTCTATATATCATCTTCGTAAAAAAGTAGAGCTTATGAGTTTAAGATTATTAATACACCAACAATATAATATTCTATTTGGTCAAATATTCTTATATTCTTATTACTTTTTTTCGTATATCATACTCATCCGTCCTATTTTCCGTATATTTTTTATAACAAACGGAGTACAAATAATTAAAAAGGTATATCACATGATAAAACAATTTTTTTAAGTTTTAATTTTTATATTTATATATGAAATATTGGTGTCATATGAAAGATAATAAAAAAGTTATAATTTGCATATATTTTTGTAACAATCGAAGTATAAATGAAAAAACAAAACGTTTTTATAAATACTAGCTATTTGCATTGTATCTATTTGCATTGTAATCATATCACCCTTGAAAGTAAAAAAAAAGTGTTGAAAATGTCAATATTGTCAACATCACAATATACTTTTATTTAAACTTTAGATTTTAAATTTTGATGAATATACACAAATTAGCATTCTCAACTTCACAAATCTAACGGTAAAGATTAAGACATTATTATAAATAGAGTTAGTAAGTTAGTTATATTGAATATATTGTTAAGGCTGCCCAAGACTGGCAGAAGAGTTATGCTGATAAATGTCGGAGGGCATTGGAGTTTGAGGTCGGTGATGAGGTATTTCTGAGGGTGTCACCTTGGAAGGGGATCATCAGGTTCCTCAGTCGAGGTAAGCTTAACCCACGTTACATAGGCACATTCAAAATCCTTGAAAGGATCGAGGTCGTAGCATACCGACTTCAGTTGACTCGAGAGTTGGAGAAGATTCATGACATATTTCATGTGTCTATGCTCAAGAAGTATGTACGGGACCCGTTACATATTCTTGAGAAACCACCGATAGAAATCCGAGAAGACCTACACTATACGGTGCAGCCGGTAAGGATCATAGACCGACAGGTAAAGAAGCTAAGGAGCAAAGAGGTACCGATGGTAAAGGTACTTTGGAAGAGTGATCGCGTTGAGGAGCAAACTTGGGAAGTGGAGACCCTGATGAGGGAACAATATCCATTTCTGTTTGACTAGACACGTGGATTTCGGGGACGAAACCCCAAAAAAGGAGGGTAGAACTTGTAACACCGTCCCCAAGTATTTGTACTTTATTAAATTATGTATTGAACCCTGAGAAATGAGTAATTCCATTTTTCGTGATTGTAAATTTTTATCATTTCTTTTATGTGAATAGTAAAATTCACGTGGGCCCACACCGGAAGTGGGGGCCGCCCGATATTATCGGGACCACATATTATATTCATCTTGGCCTAGATAATATGTATATGGTGGTGGATATCCAAATTGGTCCGTGGCAAAGGTATAGGGTTGACCGGTTGGTCAGACGAGACCCGATTATCAGTATCGGCAATTTATCAGATAACAGCCCGAAAAGGAATTCCAGGGACTTCTTAATTAAAGTTGAGTAATGTATATTCATTATAAGGTCCAATAATGATGGGGAACATGTGACATATTTTATTTGATCCGATAAAATAAAATATAATTAAAACAGTCCGAAAAATACAACTTTCGGGGCCGATTGTACACATCGAGACTTAAAGGGATGACCTCCCACAGAAGTGGGGGCCATACCACGTTTTTAGCCTTGAAATTGGCTAGGAGAGCCTCACAAGAAGGAGGGGGAAGGGAGTAGGACCTGATTTGCATCCAAGAGCAATAAATGGCATGGGCTCCTCCCATGTTATCATTGAGAGAAATGCCAAAGGGCATTCTCAATCACTCCAGCTCTCACACTTCGACCTAGTCTTCATTCTTGGTGAGAGGAGCTCTAAAAATACTCCATTTCCATCCCCATTTTCGCACAAAAATAAAGGAGGGAGAAGAGAGCAAAGTTGAGGAGAAAAGAGAAGGTTAAGAAGAGAAAGTATAGGCAATCAAGGTATTGATTTCTTTAATCCCATTTCTTTTCTCTAATCCTTCCACATGTTTGAGTGAATCATGTTATAGACCCTTATTCTTGTTATTCACCTTTAGAGGTGTAGAATGAGGGGTTGGAGTGTTGGTTTCCAACCAAAAGGGACTTGGAGAACAAAGTTGACCGGTTCGCCGAAAAATAATATTTTAGAGGTTATTTGTATTAATATGGGTTTTGTGATGATAAAACCTTGTTAGTAACTTGCCTAAGGTATTCAAGGAACTTTCACGGAGTTGAAAGGGTCTCCGGAATTGTCTCCGGAGTTTGCCGAAGTTCGCCGGAGTTTCATCGGAGCTAAATCGGGAAGGCTAGAACTTCATAAGCATCATTAAGGTGAGAAGACGGCTTTATGCTTTATAACTTTTGTGTGAGACATGAGATTACCTAAAGTAATCAAGGATATGTTTTATGGAATGATTAAAGATAATCAAGTGTTTGCTTATGCCATGATTATACATAAAACATAGTTGAAAAGTATGTTATGTATGTTTGATGATTAAAAATGTGATAACTTATTATGTATGATGTTCTAGGGATCCAAAACTGGTATTTTTGGATCAAGGACGTCAATAAGTACATGTGTATAAAATTTCATGTTAATCGGACTTCGTTTGGGCGGTCAAACGCGCGTTGACCGCCAAGACAAAGGTGATACCCGATCGGGTATGGGTAAATACCCAACCGGGTATTGATTAAAAATGGCTCCAGAAGCCACTGCCACACTAGACCCGACCGGGTATGGGTATAGACCCGACAGGGTCTCAAGTAAAGTTGGCTCCATGGGCTACTGCCTCACCATACCCGACCGGGTAAGGTTGGATACCCGACCGGGTATTGGGCTATACTCAAAACGGGCAGTTTTTTAGTAGGTTAACGTGGGCCGTTCAGGTGGGACCCATCCACGTTGGTTACTAAGGATTATTATATGACTATAGGGCTAGGTATTGTCTATAGTCGAAGGAATGAAACGTTAGCCATATCGAGGTTAGGATTTGGTAGAGAATAGACTGGGGATTGAGTACCCTTGGACGGTAAATGATCCAGAATACTCCAGGTGGGGTCGAGTACCCTTGGACGGTAAATGATCCAGAATACTCCAGGTGGGGTCGAGTACCCTTGGATAGTAAATGATCCAGAATACTCCAGGTGGGGTCGAGTACCCTTGGACGGTAAATGATCCAGAATACTCTAGGTGGGGTTGAGTGCCCTTGGACGGTAAATGATCCTAAATACTCCAGGTTGGGTTGAGTGTCTTGGACGGTAAATGATCCTAAAACACTCGGTAGTATGAATCGAAGGTAGACTATAGCTTGTGAGCTAGGCATCCGGGAAAGGAGTGAGAAAAGTCAGGAAAGAACTTTATCTCTAAAAGACTCTTTAAGGTAAATGACCTACGGGTTAAGTATTTTACGAGTATATATATACAGTATGCATCATCGAGTGGACGAGAGACATATAGCACCCTATTTTTAGGTCTCGTGTCTGAAACATTAGTTATTCTTCATATAGCCTGCTTGTCACTAGTACTTCAATGGAGTACTGACCCCTCTGGGGGGCCTCACATTTTTCAGGTTAAAGCTAGAGTCCTACTACCTGCACCTTTGCCTAGGGTGATTGATCCAAGGAGGAAGACGTGGTTCGTGCTTCCATTCTTATTTGGAAATTTATAAACTGTTCATGGATATTTGAACATTGTTTTTCTTCTAAAACAAAGTTGGGAGCCTGCGTGCTCGTGTTTGCCACGTGTGGCTATTTATCAAACATATTATATTTTCCGCATTTGTTTGATTATGATATTGATGTTGATTGTATGCGTTTACTAATCGGTTTGACAATAGAATCTATCGGACGCCTTGTATGATTCAATAGAGATGAACTAATGTTTTTCTTATCGGGTTGTACGGCGATTGTCTACGGGGCTCGGATGCGATCCGGGGCGTGACACACGGGCCAGGCCACCCGCCGGGCCGGGGCGGGCCTGTTAAATACATTTTTTTATAATTTATACTTTATAGTTTTATACAAGTATTAAAAACAAACTTCAAGTGCATTTATTTGAAATGAAATAGGAACTACATTTGACAATTGAGAAAAAAAATACAATATGAAATACATTTTGTAATCAATCGGAACTTCCCGGACCTCCCGGTCCTTTGGCTTTGTCACATGACTTAATATGCTTCCTTGTCATCCCGTATCCACGTGAAACCCCCATGCTACACTTTTTTCCGCACCATTTGCAAGTTGTGTACCACATCCCGGTCATCGGGTCCTTCTGCGTATCAAAATTATACCGTATAACGGCATATTGACTTTCCATCTTAAAAATAGTAGATATAATAATTTTACAAATACTAGAATAGTAGAATAGATGAAGATGAAGATGGAGAATGGAGATTGGATATTGGAGAAGATGTGTATAAAAATGTTAGAAAATAGGAGTATTTATATAAATTTTTGTACCCCCACCCCCAACGGCTCTATTGATTCAAATTTCAAACAACCAAAGTGCCCAAGTCCCAACGGCTATGTAGCCGTTTGGGGCCTTTGATTTAAATATATATTTTTTGTTTATTTTAGTTTGAATAGATTACATAATGTAAAATAAATTAATTAATTTTATGAATTCAGTAAAAAATGCTACATATAAAAAAATGAACGTATATTTATTTGAAATATGAACTACAAGTTTACAAGTTACAATTGAAGGTAAAATTAAAACATGAAATAGTGAAATACTAATCAATCGGAATCTCCGTAATACGTAGAGCCACCCTCGGTTGTAGATTCATCCATAAAGTGTTGGGTTGGGGTGATGTCAATTTCTCGAGCTCTACGGGCCGCCTTCAACCAATCGTGGTAGCATATAAGCATCTCAAGAGATTCTGCACTCAACCTCATTCTACATTGCGTTAGGACATTGCCGGCCGAACTAAATTCTTGTTCGACGACAAGTGTTGAAACCGGCATTGATAGCACTTGCTTAGCCATCTTTGCTAAAACCGGGAATATTCTTTCTTTTCCCTTCCACCAGTATAGAACGTCAAAGTCATCATCTTTTCAAAATCAACATCATTTGTTAAATACAAAGAAATCTCATAAATTTTGCTTTGTTGAGTAGCGGGTGTTGTTTTAGTTTTTTTAATAAGATTGACAAATATAGATTTCAAAATTGATTTTCCTTTAGATGAAGAGGTTTGTGTCGGGGGAGGGGGCGCGTTGCCATATTGTGAATGAAACTCATTAAATAATGCATAAAATATATCACTAACCTCGTTGTATTCTTTTTTCGGATCAATTGAGTTCTCGTCATACATTGGCATTGGACCAAAAAAAGCAACATAATAATAATTCAAACATTCTTCTAAAGAACCAAGTCTAATACGAGGATCGAGAACAAATGCAATACCATAAATATGTGGAATATGTGAATAATATTTTAAAAACTTTTCCTTCATAAAACCAGCAAAATAATTCACATAATCGGCATTCTCAAAATTTGAAAAAGCACCGGCGACGGCGAGATTAACAGCTTCACGAATAAATTGGTTTGAGGTAGGTTTATAAACATGACTAAAAGTTTCAGTTGCATTATTAAAATATACCAAAGCATTACAAATTTTTTCGTAGGTGTCGATCTCACCCGAGTTTATGATATAGTTATCATATTGTTTCATAAAAGCAAGAAAATGTTGTTTATATCTAAGAAGAACTCCAATTAACTTATAAGTACTATTCCAACGAATAGACAAATCTTTAGGAAAAACCACATATTTCTCACCTCTTTCTATCAAATAATCATGTCATTTTTTTATAAGTTGACCATTACCCCTGATGGAGTATATGGCCCGGGAACCCCCGGCCCACAGACTCCTACTATTCCAAACAAGGCCCAACAAGCCCAGGAGGCCCAACAGGCCCAAATCACAGCGCCCAGAGTACCAAGCAGCCCACAATGCGCACCAGGGGTGCCTTCGCCCCCCTGGCCGAGGGCTCTAACTCCCACAGGAGGGCCAAAACAGGAAAACAAGATGACTGGGAAAACGGCGAAAATCACTAGCCCTCGGCACCTGGAGCCCTCGGCACCCAGAGGGTCCCCAGTACTCAGAGCCCTCGGTTAGTCCTCTACAGCCGAGGGCACCTTTCCCGACATGATATCCGCGCCACATGCGTGCAGGTCAACGTACCCTGTACAACGTCCCATCCAACAGCCGCATTAAATGCGGCCACATGCGGTTGCCAGCGCCAACCAGTTGAGGTGACCTCTCGGCCAATGGACGCTTGACACGTGTCCCTGTCCGGCATTTATTGCTACAATAAATAGCACCCCATTTCCCCGTTTGTAACCAAGCCATAACACGCTGAAAACGCTCCACACTTTGCAATATACTTTCTCTCTCTATATTTACTTGCTCTGACTTCTCTCTTATTATTCCCCGTAATACCCCCTCGGATAAGCTACCCCCCGGGTACACTATCCATCATTTGGTGCTCTCGTTGAGAGGTCGAACAATCAAGTAAGAAACCCTCCCCCTTCGCCAAACACTAGCCCTCTACCAAAATGGTGAGAACAACACGTGCCAACTCCAAAAATGTAAAAGACAAGAACCTGGCCCTCGGCGATGTCAACGCCCCCGAAGCCTCTCACAGGGCTCCCGAGGGCGGTGTCATCGTTGGGCTGGAACAGGCGGCTGTCGACCTACGCCTTCAGATCCAGCAGAATGCCCCCGATGCCCGCCTCGGCATCGAGGCCAAGAAGAAAAACCGGAGCGATGACCAAGTCAGCCCTCCGGTCCTCACCATTGACGTTCATTCGGCACTCTCCGCCTTCATCCAGACGCTCACTCAGAACCCGGGTGCCTTCGGCACCCTGGCTCTGGCTCAACCCCAGGTTGGGGAGAACATCATGCTTCCCCCTCTGCCACACCCCTTCGGAAACCCCATCCCTCGGATTGGGAATGACGAAGGGGTAATGGCCCAAGATACGGCCTCCCAGGAAGTTCAGTCCCGGGACCGCCACAATGACAACAGAGAAAGGCCCCGCACTTCCGCCCTCAACCGGCTCAGAGGGGGGCAAGACCGCCGAGGGGTCCAAGACCGCCTCGGAGGAAAGGCACTCCAAAGGCCCCAGGAAAGCGGGGTCCGTCTCGAGGGCAGACGAGGAGCGTCCCCCTCGGGACAAAGGCAAGGCACCCCTTCATGCCGACGATGCTCGCCACCAAATCAACCAGGCCCACTCGGCCTGGGTTCGTTCGCAGGGGGCGGAGGCCCTCCCGAAGGATCCCCGGGACGAAATTATTGCGGCCCTCCAACGTCGACTTGATGAAATGGAGGCCAACAAAGCTCACGCCACCACCTCCACCCCTCATTCAGACCTCAAGTACGAGGCCATGATGGCCAAAATGGAGGAATTGCAGAAGAAGGTAGCCGAGGGCTCCGGGGAACCCATCATCCAGCTCCGGACCCGGACGCCATTTACCCCAAGGGTATTGGCGGCCCGGATCCCGGAAAAATACCGAGGGCAACACATACAGCCCTACAACGGGAACACGGACCCCCAGGAGCACTACAGCAAATATCAGAACAGCATGATGATGGTAGGGGCATCGGACGAATATTTGTGTCGTTGGTTCCTCTCCACCTTAGAGGGGCCGACATACGAATGGTTCAACCGGTTGCCCGAGGGCTGCATTGACTCGTGGCAAGAACTCGCCCAGCGATTCTTGACGCAATTTGCCGGGAGGCGTCGCACGAGGAAGCACTTCTCCCACCTCCTAACCATACGTTAGAAGAGGGATGAGACCCTTCGGGACTTCCTGGAGCGCTGGAGAACGGAAGCCGACAAAGTCGACGGTGCTGACGACGGGACCCTCCTGGCCCTCCTACAAGTCGTCCTCCGCACCGACAACTTTTCAAGGAGCCTCATCATTGAACCCCCCCCCCCCCCGCGACTACATAAGGGACCTGCAGCGGGGGGACCGATATGCCGAGGCCGAGGAGGTGGAGAAATACCACCAACATCCGGATCAGCAACCCCCGAAGGCTGACAACAAGAACAACCGGGGGCCGGGGATTCCTCCAAATCAACCCAAGGCTTCAGGACCCTCTGATGACCGCCCTCGGCAAGGCCAAGTCAAGCCCGGGGGAGGTTATAAGAACAACCCTAAGACTTGGGCACAGCCCATTCTCCTGGACCGCCCCCGGACACCATTGACGCACCCCGTCAGCATCGTCCTTGATTTCGCCGAGGAGAGGGGCCTCGTTGAGCGCGATTCTCGCGCATCCCCGGAGGTACATGCTATCAACCCTCAGTTCCCCTACTGTCGTTTCCATCGGCATCAGGGGCACAGAACCGATGACTGCCATCAGCTAAAGACGGCCATCGAGAGATTGATACAAGCGGGCCATCTGTCCCAATTTATCCAGAGCCCTCGGCAGGAGGGACCTTCTCATCAGGGACCTCCCCGAGGGCACCACACGAAGGTGAACGCTTGGGTGAACCCGAACACCATCCCCCTCGGCAAGAAGAGGGAGATCGGAAACTTGGAGGAGGAAGCGGAGGAGTACCTGTAATACCCGAGATTAATTTAAGAGGATTAATAGTACTACTCATACAAACAGAGGTGCATCTCCTTTTAAGGGAGCTCATCACCCAAGAACTCCAAAGTTAAGCGTGCTTGCACGGGAGTAGTCTTGGGATGGGTGACTCCCTGGGAAGTTTCTCAGGGCGCGCATGAGTGAGGACAAAGTGCGCGGTAAAGGCTCGTGGTGGTTTGTGGGGACAGTACTAGAGGTCTAGAGTAACTACCTCGGGTCCGTGTGGGGCCTCGGGGTGTTACAGGTGGTATCAGAGCAACCCTGCGACAGTGTGCTGACCCGTT